TTGAAAGAAATTGAAAAGAGAAAAAGTGCTAGGCTTCCACTGAAAATTACGCTCGTCTCGAACCAAAACGTGCCAGCCAAAAATTTCCAAGCAAAGCGAAATTCACTAACGTAAGATTGAACAAAACCGAAACGAAACGAAAAGAAACACGCTAGTAGATTGCAGATAATCAACGAAGGGCAAGATAGCATAATAGGAAACGCAATGATAAGGCAATTCGTTCGTTGGCTGATGCTCCCGCTCGCGCTGTTGCTGCTGCTGCTGTCTGACTGATTTTGTTGTGTCTGAGTCTATGAAAGACAGACGTCGATTCAACGATACGTTACATAAATGAAAGAGAATCGCGAGGATGATACCGATTGTAAGGCAGCACAGACAGCTAGGCGATTGCGAACGAACGCAGGCAGGCAGTTACATAGGGAAACAACGCGCTCGTGTGTGTCTCACGCTCTGTGGGGTCGTTCCTCCATATAACTGGCGAAAAATTTCTCGTCAAATCCGAATGGAATGTGATTCGTTGGTTGCATTCACGCATACATTCTCACAAACACACAAATTAAACGCTACATCGTTAGATGTACTCTTCTCTGTTCGTATCACTATTTCCTTGGTGCGATTGATTCTCTTGCAACGTTGTTAGCAATTCAATGGACGATTCCTTGAAAATGATGATTTCGCTGTGTTCCTCTTGGTTTCCTGTCCGTCACTGTGCAAATTTTGCAAAGCTTTTGAAGTAAGAATTTTGAGATGTCAGCCACTCTCGACGTGAACGACAGCTCAATTAGTCTCTCTTATTTCGTGAAAGTCTTCTCATGTTTCTTCGTGCATGGTCACACGACTTTTCTGCACGATTATACGCAAATCTAATAGTGTTTGAACGTGCCTGAGACCAAGTCTACAATGCTTACTCGTCCTAAATTTATTGCGGATTTGTGACAAAACTTGTTAAAAGTACTACGTATTCATTGTTACTCATATAGAATACCACTTTAAATATGTACAGTTTCAGCGAATGGATGAGATACTCTTCATAATCTTGAATACTCTCATTAGCAGTTTTCTCAAAATTTGTTCACGTACCGTTAATAAGTACAATCAGATAAGTTGAGGCGCCATTTCCAAAAGTTGAGGCTCCTTCAGGTTCAAGTGAGGCCTTTAGAACTGGATTACACTTGATCGTAAGTTGAAGCTCCTCAGCATTCATCTAGGCTTAGATAAAATTTTGGCCAGGCTTAAGCCAGTCGTTGGTTGAACAGTAGCAGTTTTGTTCGGATTGGACCCGCTATAAGTGAAGAGTTCCTAAGTTCAGCTCAAGCTGAGTCTGAGACCAGCATTTCGTCTCAGACAAATGCTTCGCCTCAGCTCCACGCTCGAGCTTATTCTCGACTTCTGAACATTTTCCATTAGGCAATATCCAACGATGTTCTAGCCACTCGTTTCGACTCTTTCCAGGACCTTGTTTGGGTTGAATTAGTTCGGAGCACTGTACAAAAATCTGGAGGTTTATTTGTTTTTATATGAACAACTACGAAGTAACTATAACCGTGATGCATTCGGTAATTCCGTATTCAGAAAATAACTTGGCCAGTTTTTGCTGTATGTTTCGTTTTTAGTTATGGAGAGTATAGAGAAGTGCAAACTTCTTCCATTTTCATCCAAATATCAATACGTTGATAAACGTTATCGACTCACTAAACGGTCACTTTTTGAATTTTTTTATTTTTTGATCGTTTCGTAAAATTTCGAGATCATAAGCAGGTGATAACTTGTGTTTAATTCGCATTTTGATCCATTCATTTGTTCAATAAACTTCGCAATTCTGTTCANAAAGTATTTTACTAACATATTTAGTTTATGCGGATCAATTGTTATCGTCATCTATCAGGGCCGATCTGATTTATTTCTCGAATCCATTTGTAAAGAGGCTCAGGAATTAAACACTTTCTAAGTTCACCTGAAGCATTACTCATGTGCACAGCGCAAAAATTGCTCAAACGCATTCTGAAGCAGATTCATTTTGTTTCCATTGAATTGGTCAATGTTTGGTGTCTTTTCACAGAGACATGTTTCTGTTTTCAACATATAAGAACAGTGCAGGTGAATTCAAACGGGCATAAGTTAATATGCCACCAGAATTCGGTAGTCATCGCTGTCGATGCGTTCCTATATGGTTTATCGTATATTTCTGGTCGATTTCGTGATGATTTATAGTGATCATTTATAAATGAAATGCTGAATGAAGAGGATTCGTCTCCGGCTCCAGCACAAGTTCATGAAGGCTGAATTTGAGCTTTACATCCCGTCCCGTATCCTCCAAATTGACTCGTACCCCGAAGAGGAGGGATTGGATGGGATTCTGAGCACTAATACACTCAGAAATTTTAATGAATATCATCTTTAAAATTACCTGGATTGGCCAGGCTATCAAACGTTTGTAACGCTGCTGGTCACAATGCTCGCGTTTCCGTGCACATTGTTTAGCCTCGATCTACGCCACCCCGCTGGCTAGGCGAGCAGGCCAACCGAACACAACCGAGTAATTAATCAGTTGCCGTGAATACTTTGCATAATCAATCGTAGCCAAATACCAATCCAATTAATAATCATAGCTCTAATAAAGTAAGTATTCCGCCGAACGCCTACAGCGATCGACAAAACAACCATCCGATGCCCAAGTAACAATAACAACCAAACAATATCATCTTTAAAATAGTCGAAACAAATTACTCGAACGAATTCATCCGTTTTCATGCTTCAAAATCGTTCAGAAAGCAATCCCGGACGTTGTGTTACTGAATATATTCAAATACATGCACCCAATCGAC